AGACTGGATGTGATGGGACGAGAGAGGTCAGGAAAGACTGGATGTGATGGGACGAGAGAGGTCAGGAAAGACTGGATGTGATGGGACGAGAGAGGTCAGGAAAGACTGGATGTGATGGGACCAGAGAGGTCAGGACAGACTGGATGTGATGGGACCAGAGAGGTCAGAACAGACTGGAAGTTATGGGACCAGTGAGGTCAGGACAGACATATGTAAAGTTATATGCACTGTCCCCCTCTCAAATCCATATAATGGCAGGGGCATAAAAATAGATGATACATAATTTATCTTTACTGAAAATCACAGAATCGGATTAGTACAAAAATACTTTTAATTTCTTTCTACTCTCCATATGATTTTTTACCTCTTTTTGCCTCATTTAACTGCCCACAATACATAGAAACTTTATATCTATACCAAAACAATAGCAAGCACACTTCTCTAAATAAAAATCAAACAGGTAAATACTGGTCACTTTAATACTTACTTTCCAGCAAAGATACATTTCATCCTAAACTTTTCCCCTACTAGACCAAAATGGTCGCTGGGAGTAGCCCATTGGTAGGTTGGTCCAATCTTCAACTCGGAGGCTGTGGAATTCAAATCAAGGTGTCAGTTGGTAACAAGCAGTACTAATGATTTGGTTGTAAGGATGTGATTACACGAGACAAAATAGGATTATAAAAAAGAATCATCTACCCTATATTTGGTTTCTAGTTGAAAGTTACCAAGCTTAAGCTTATCTATTTTAATCACGTTCCTTCCAGCTTCAGTTTCACAACAGTCGAGTATGGGTGAGTATGCAGTACAACAAAGGCAGGTAAAGTTAAAGCTTAACTGTGCTTTGTTTTGATCTTAGTGTAGACTGGTGACTATCATTATTGATTTCATTGGATGCTATTTATATCACAAAAACCTGAAAAATTAAACTGAAGCTGTTTAAGCTTATGCTACACATGTGGCCCACCTCAGGATGTCACTAACCCAACAACCGAACAACACCTGGAACGCTTGTAAACCTAATTATCATAGCGGAATATGTGACGCAGTTTTTGCAATTCTTTGGTCTTCAATTAAATTGTATAGGGATTTCTACAGAAAGAAAAACAATTTCCATGAAAAGCTACACATGTTTTCTACCCACTATGCCATCAATTTTCATAGTTTCAACTCTGAAAATAAAGTTTAGGGCCAAGGTAATTATTAATAACAGTTGAGATACCATTAACAAATAAATAGTGTCCTGTTCTTGTAAAATGTATCATTATTAATGTTGTCAATGCTGCCTCCATTCACTGTAATTAGGAAAGATTCTATACATTAAAGACTGATAAATAACCCCGTTCAGGCCGAGATGGCCTTTCTACAGACTGCATGTATATTATTCCATCGTTAACTAGTCATTTATATGATTATAAATTCTTTCCATTTTTGCAACTGTAAACAAGATTTGCATACATGCTTAGTTTGTGAATATTTGCCTCAGAATTAACGTATCTTTCAAATTTCTAAATTAAATAATTTGCAATGAAACTTCACTCAAAGTATTTGGTGATGGAAAAATCCTGAAATCCTCCTTAAAGACTTTATCTTAACTCATTCGCCCCTACATATTTAAACTGGACTTGCCCATTCTTTAATTTGGTAAGGTTCAAATGTGACTTTTGGGGTGAATGGGTTAAAAGTGTAAAACAGCTGGAATCATCCCTTCTATATTTGCTTTGGAATATTAAAATTTCCCATTAACACTTTCTTGGCAATTGTAATTAACTCTTGAATGATTGAGAAACTTACATCCACTTGGAATAATGAAATGGCCGTGGTCGAACTCGTTGTGTCGCATGAAGTAGTTAATAGCCATGCAAACATAGGCCTTGCCGTCTTGGTAGTCTTTAGCCTTCACGTTGGTGATGTGTAGACGGGCTGAAATACAAACAGTTGGACATGAAAAATAAGAGTTCTACCTGTACAGATCTACCTGTATAGAGATCTACCTGTACAGAGATCTACCTGTATAGAGATCTACCTGTATAGAGATCTACCTGTATAGAGATCTACCTGTACAGAGTTCTACCTGTACAGATTTCTACGTATACATGTACAAAGATCTACCTGTACAGAGATCTACTTGTATAGAGATCTATTTGTACAGAGTTCTACCTGTACAGAGTTCTATGTATACATGTACAAATATCTACCTGTACAGAGATCTACCTGTATACATGTACAAAGATCTACCTGTACAGAGATCTACCTGTATAGAGATCTACCTGTACAGAGTTCTACCTGTACAGATTTCTACGTATACATGTACAAAGATCTACCTGTACAGAGATCTACTTGTATAGAGATCTATTTGTACAGAGTTCTACCTGTACAGAGTTCTATGTATACATGTACAAATATCTACCTGTACAGAGATCTACCTGTATACATGTACAAAGATCTACCTGTACAGAGATCTACCTGTATAGAGATCTACCTGTACAGAGTTCTACATGTACAAAGATCTACCTATATAGAGATCTACCTGTATAGAGATCTACCTGTACAGAGATCTACCTGTACAGAGTTCTACATGTACAAAGATCTAACTGTATAGAGATCTACCTGTATATAGATATACCTGTATAGAGATCTACCTGTACAGAGTTCTACATGTACAGAGTTATACATGTACAGAGATCTACCTGTAAAGAGATCTACCTGTACAGAGATCTACCAGTACAGAAGAGAGAAAAAGTAGATACAGAGTGGTTTTCCTAGTAATACCCCTATTTACCTGTACAGGGCTAGAAATTGATTTTGAAAACCATTAGTCAGTCGGGCTAGTAGTTTCCAATTTTACTAGTCAATGTGCAAATCCCACTGATTCAGTATTATTCAACATGATAAGTGATATCAAGCTTTTAGAACCACTAGTCTAGCTAGGGATTACAATAGTCTCAGATTGTTAGACTACCCTATTGTTGAGCTCTGCCTATATCCCTGTCTCCTGTAATCTGTACAGGTAAGTTCTGTAGCCCCTCCCCTCCCACTCAGTCTATATCCCTGTCTCCTGTAATCTGTACAGTTAATTTCTGTAGCCACTCCCCTCCCTCTCTGCCTATATCACTGTCTCATGTCATCTGTACAGGTAATTTCTGTAGCCACTCCCCTTCCACTCTGCCTATATCCCTGTCTCATGTCATCTGTACAGGGAATTTCTGTAGCCACTCCCCTCCCACTCTGCCTATATCCCTGTCTCATGTCATCTGTACAGGTAATTTCTGTAGCCACTCCCCTCCCACTCTGCCTATATCCCTGTCTCATGTAATCTGTACAGGTAATTTCTGTAGCCACCCCCCTCCCACTCTGCCTATATCCCTGTCTCATGTCATCTGTACAGGTAATTTCCGTAGCCACTCCCCTCCCACTCTGCCTATATCCCTGTCTCCTGTAATCTGTACAGGTAATTTCTGTAGCCACCCCCCTCCCACTCTGCCTATATCCCTGTCTCCTGTAATCAGTACAGGCAAGTTCTGTAGCCACTCCCCTCCCACTCTGTCTATATCCCTATCTCCTGTAATCTGTACAGGTAAGTTCTGAAGCCACTCCCCTCCCCCTCTGCCTATATCCCTATCTCCTGTAATCTGTACAGGTAAGTTCTGTAGCCACTCCCCTCCCACTGTCTATATCCCTATCTCCTGTAATCTGTACAGGTAAGTTCTGTAGCCCCTCCCCTCCCTCTCTGTCTATAACCCTGTCTCCTGTAATCTGTACAGGTAAGTTCGGTAGCCACTCCCCTCCCCCTCTGCCTATATCCCTTTCTCCTCTAATCTGTACAGGTAAGTTCTGTAGCCACTCCCCTCCCACTCTGCCTATACCCCTGTCTCCTGTAATCTGTACAGGTAATTTCTGTAGCCACCCCCCTCCCACTCTGCCTATATCCCTGTCTCCTGTAATCAGTACAGGCAAGTTCTGTAGCCACTCCCCTCCCCCTCTGTCTATATCACTGTCTCCTGTAATCTGTACAGGTAAGTTCTGTAGCCACTCCCCTCCCACTCTGCCATATCCTATTCCCTTTCCATTCCTGTACCCTGAGGAGTCATAGTGGTGATATAATCTTTCTTTAACCTTTCCCCAAATCAGCATCTGACCCTTCCCCAAATCAGCCTCTGACCCTTCCCCAAATCAACCTCTGACCCTTCACCAAATCAGCCTCTGACCCTTCCCCAAATCAACCTCTGACCCTTCCCAAAATCAACCTCTGACCCTTCCACAAATCAACCTCTGACCTTTCCCCATTCCACCTCTGACCCTTACCCTCCAGATCCATGGTAACTCGATTGTTGTAGTTGATGGCCTCGTTTCGCCCGGAGCTGCCTTTGAGGACCCATTCCACCTGGGCCTTCGGATAGCTGGTGGGTGGGATACATTCCAGTGTGAGAGCTGTACCCAGCTGCGGACGATGATACTCATTAACTCCAGTTGGAAATTCGTCCAGTTTACCTTCACGGAGATTCACATGGTTTGTCATCGACCTCCCAAACTCATTTTGAGCAAAACATTGAAAAATACCTTCATCTTTATCTTCGGGTCTATTGATGACGATAGTGCCCGAGTTGGCTAGCTGTACCATACGATCATCGTTACCGCTAGGATTGAAATCCTTTCCATTCTTCTTCCATGTATATCTATTTGAAAAAAGGCTTAAGTGAAAAGCTATTGCCACAAAAAATATGGTATAAAAACCTACAATGTTAACTCATTCACCCCTGAAATTGGAGGAGTTCAAATGTGTCTTTAGGGGTGAATGAGTTAAAAACAATAATGATTTAATGTAATGGCATGTAATCTAAATTGATATACTTTACATATGCATGATCTCAAGAGAATTACTTGACCAGAGATATGTAAATAACATCACCTTGAGTTAATTCATTACCTTGATATACATACATGACCTCAATAATCTAAAATGACCTTAAGGGACTTACTTCACCTATTAAAGACTTGAAAGATGTTGATGATAAACTTGCATGACTTTAAGACACTCAAATGACCTTGATATACATAAGCTTGAAATATGTAACCTTGAGATACTTACATGACCTTGAGATACTTATATGACCATGACCTGCATATGTGACCTTGAGTTATTTGTTTGACCCTGTGGTACACATAGTACCTTGAATTACACACATGACCTTGGGAGACTTATATGGCCATGACATGCATATATGACCTTGAGATACTTGTATGACCCTGTGGTATTCATATGACCTTGAAGATCAATTACACACATGACCTTGAGATACTTACATGACCTTGGGATAACCATCACCTACACATGGCATCATCACTGTTTCCCCAGGTTTGAAATAAATGTCTTTATCTGGCTCTATGTATATACCCGGAGGACGATTTGGAACTGTTGATAGAAATATTGGAAGTTTTTAACATCAAAAGTGATATTGTGATTTGGTTACCAATAAGTGCATATATATTATCAGTATTACAACATATTACAGTCTCAGCACAATTCCACTTTAGAAATTTTGATAATTTTTTTTCAAATATGTTATAAATCCCTGCATAGTGTTTTGGAATGGTTAGTATTTCAATATGATGCTCAACTGGGCTTTGTAAACTTGGAAAATTTCAAAGTTTTTTATTTATGTTTACGAATAGATTTTTACAACTAAAACTATGCATTAATTATTAATTGGAAAGTTCACATCCCAGATACGGAAGAGTTCCATCATTAAAAGAAGGTAATACCCTGGAGGAAACAATTTGTACTACAATTTTGGAAAATAAGTGTCAAACATCTCTAAAAATCTTCAAAACTACAAAATGTCTGCAGGACATGAATGCCCTGTCACCATGTGAAATTGGTTTCAGTGTTTGATGTTTGACGGGATGGGACGCGGCGGGGCAGGTGCCCATACTTGCTAACTTTAAAAAAATTTCATTGGGGAAATTACCCATGCTCGTACTTTTAAAAACAATCCTTTCAGATAAAATCATCAGATCTTAGAAAATTAGAATATATAGTTTAGTAAAATCACAGGTTAAAAATGCTCAAATTCAGGGTTCAAAATCGGGTGTCTCCCTCCAAAATAGGGAGAATTGGCAAAAATATGAATACCCTGCATGATAGTGAGCTAATTTGATTACTTACTTGCTAAAACAGCTGTAGAGCATATTAATAACACAACCCCTATCAGGGTAACAGCTTTCTCCATCTTGGCAGGTATTTGCTTTTTTTACCTAGAAATAATCAATGTTTAATCAGTTAACTTTAATATGTGTATTCATTTGTGTTGTAAACAGGTGTTTAGAATAACCACGGAATTAGATTATCTAAGTCCGTGGAATAACACAATCAAATTTCAAATTAACGAATGAACATCCTGTGCACTTTTGCTTCTTGCATTACATGTACCCTGGAATATTTTTCATTAATTTAAAAAAAAAAATGTAATTGTCGAACAGTTATTTTTGAGCTAATTTGTTTGTATGTGTGTGTGATTTTTCATGCTAAATATCACATTTCTCTTGTCGGTTATAAAAGGTTGTCTTACTTTAATTTGCTTTACATAAGTGAACATAATGCATTATTTAAAATATACATGTATCTTGATTTTATGTGCAACATATTTGGCCCTATATATCATAGTGACCTGGCGCACAACGTAAGTTTACTCCAGAATATCTTTACAGATCTTGCGTCATATTGTCATCAATGTTTATAAGTAAATAAACCACAGAATTACATAAGATATCCAAGTCTATGGAATAACTATTAACATATACAGTTATACTATACTGATGTAAATTGAAATGTATTTGAAACAACTTCTTAGGCTACACCCACAGCCCTCTGAAATTTTATCATTGAGTTGGTTTACCCCCTACCGAAAATAGGGAGGGTTTTGGGGGATATATCGTCTGCTGGATAATCAAACTACTCGGTAGTGAGGCGGACGTAAAATGTATCAATCAATCAATTAGGGGATATATCTGACTTTTACTCCAGGTCAACATACTGATAAAGCGAGGCCAGTGGCTATAACCGACTAGGTGGGGTCTGTCAACAACAACGGCGACAATAGTTCGATTAGCCAATCTACGATTTAATACCTTATCGTACATAACATGATATGGCAAACAAAATAAATATATCTTTGCGCAAATTATGAATAATAAATGTAGGAAGTACTCATCGGTCGAACTAAATAAACTGGAAGTCATCAAATTCAAAACAATTTACCGGAAGTAACTTGCACAGGTGCGCGCCTTTAACACTTACGGGTACATGTCCACGAATTCAAAGCAATCATATATATTTAATATGTAGTTTATTACGTTTTACGCCAGTGTACTGATCATACAATGTTTCAAACCGTCGGATATAATTATTTACCTTTATACACCTGAGAATGCTCACCTGGCGTCCATTTTTAGGTCATCATCGTTACTCATCGTCTACTCGAACTTTTCGGACGCTTATCATGTTAACTTGAAAGATTCTAGACGTGTTCCGAGTAATCGAACATCTCAAATTCTCAGGTAAATATATTAAACAGATTGTCTAAAGATGCATTAACATGTTTTTTACGATACATCTTTCCATACTGAATAAACGTTTTAATTATTTGCTGTCGTAATATAATGGCAACCATATAATGCTGATGTTGCATGCTGGCATACTGTGTAGGTATTGGGTAAATTAATTAATAAGCACATAACACACGTTTGCGTTTCGTTTAATCTTACCTGGTGAGTCCGGTTTGGATATCTTCACTGGTGAAATGTGGTGACTAATAACAATGATTAACATTTTTATTGTTTACTTTTCTTCAAATTATTTTTTCTGTTATTAACGAAACTGCAAAACAAACAAGGAGAAGTAGACAAAAAGCATAACCCATAACAAGCTAGGGGAGTGCCCTATATAGTCCTAACGTAAACAAAATAGTTTTGAAAGATATAATACCATATTTAAAAGTAAGTTCTGATAAGTTAAATCAGGGACGTACAGTGTATATACTGTCCCTGGTTAAATTGACATTGTCCTAGACATTGAAAAGGGATTTTAATAAGCAAATAACAGGTTGTGAGAAAGAAAAAATCGAACGCTTAAATTTAGAATGGAACACATACAGAGAAGGGTAGAATTATATCCATTTCCAACTTAATTTGGTAATTAGACAATACAATACATTTTATTTTATCAAAGTGTCACATGTCAATTTTCCTTAAAATACATACATACAACCATGATCTAAAATGTACAAACAATATATGATTGACACCCAGCCTACTGGGGCTTACGAGACACTAAAGATATTCGTTAATACGACGTAATTTACCAATACTGCAAAATAGTTCAGAGATACTAAAAATGGTTCAGACTCAATATTAAAAACACATTCTTCTACGATAAATCTTATGAACTGTGCTCGCCAGGATATTGTAAATTAGGTTCATTCATTGCGACAACAAGTTTCTGTACAGTTAAAACCTGGTACAATCTGTTCTGCTGTTGTAAAAAGATGAGCTCTGATATCAGAATAAAAATCACATTCAATCAGAAAATGAACTTCGTCTTCAATACAGTTTAAATTACAAAACGTACAAAGTCTATCTTCAACAAGTATTTTAGGGCGAGAATACCGATCAGTTTCAATGCTTACCGTTAAATTACACTGCGAATTTTTATACCTGAAATCCATAATACTCGAGGCATACATACGTTTCCGTGTAATTACTAGTTTTGTACAATCTATATGTTCTCAACTCACTTATTGTCGTTATCACAATTACTGTCATTGTGTAAATCTCTAAGCCACTTTTCATTATCGACACTAGTAAAATGATATTTAACTAATTTCACACATTGCTTTACCGAGTTTAATGGTGCAATTAAGTAAATGTTCCAAATTATTATTTCTCAACAGTTTGCTAACTCTGTTCCCCCAACTGCGACTGGCAGTAAGAGACCAGCTGTGGATTTTTTCCAGTAATCTATCATCTTCAGTGAATTTCAAATTTAACCAGTCTACACACTTCAACCTTTTGGTAAACTTTACGGAGTAGGAATTGGAAATAGTCGCGTGGTAATATTTGTATCATATATGCTCTACAGCACTATAGCATAAACTTTATTAGTAGTAACAGATAAAACAGACAGAAAATTAGGAAGCAGAGAAACTATAATCACATACTACCTTGAATACAACACATAACGTGTTAATCTGACAGGTGTTGAACCGGAGGTCAAACGGATATGGCGCACGTGCCGGGCAGAGTTGTTCCGGGACATAGCATACAGTGGCGTAGCAAACATGCATGCTTGTATGCTCAAGCATACACTGAAATTTTCAAGATTATTTTAATCATAAATATATTATTCATTTCTTTTTTAATTATTAATATGGACCGTCTGTATCAATCGAAAAAAGGAAAGAATGAAGAAAAAAATCTTCTTGAAAATTTTAGTCTGATAAAAACATTGAAAAAAACTAGTTAGTGAAGTACAAAATTTAATATCATTCATACAAAAAGTCGTGTTTTAATTGTTAATAATCAGACTAAAAAGATTTCCCAGAACACGAAAGATTGCTTATAGGGCCTAGTAGAATTTTATTTTTTAAGCTATAGGAGGGGGAACTCCCCCTCCCATACACTTCACCTCCTACGGCGCTACGCGTCTCGGACGCACGACGCTCTGGAAGCATAACGTCACTGTACCCAAATCGGGCCACTTTTTAGATAAATATCGATGTTCTTTGAACCATACTATCAGTTCCAAAAATGTTTGTTCATTTTTCATAAATAGGCACTATCTTCTTTTCATTTCTATCACAATTTGATATTTCGGGCGCGTGGTTCTATAAAAAAAATCGCGAAATACCCTCAGAGTTACGTAGGCCCTTGGACCCTGAACGGGACACTTCCGATATTTTGGCGAATAGTTGTGGATAAACTATCAATATCGGCAGAAAATATGCGTAGTTGAAATATTTTAAAGTCAACGAGGGTTCTGGTTAAAATTTCTTCTCCAAACTAGCATTAGTTTTGATAAAATATACTTTTGAAAATGATATCCAAATAAAAAGCGTCGCACGGCACGTAAATCAGAAAAGTCATGTTTTGGTAATTATTCTTACCTTTAAATTGTCCATGTAACGATAATCAGCAGCCAACAAAGCTTAATACAGTTTAATTGTCATGAAAAGTATAATAAAATGAAAACTGTATACATAAAAGTACTTTTTTTGCATTGAATGACAGTTTCTTGGGCCGATTCCCACCAGTGTCCCGCTTTCGGTACCGTCCCGATTTGGGTTCAGTAACGGTACACTACGCCACTGGCCTATAGCACAGCTTAGCAGTATCACACATGAAACTGTGTGATACCACACATGAAACCCATTTACGGACAAATATTGATAAAAAAAAAGGTGCAATTATAATTATATGTCAATATAGGAGAGAATCAGTATGCTTACGAGACTTTTCTATAAACTATTTTAAATGTAACCTATACTTTCCTGTTATCTATGTTTGATTTGTGTTGCAATATCATATTGAAATAAATCTACACCTAGTCCGATGTTTTACAGCTATGAGGTCATGATATACACTGCACCTGTTATTTTTCCCAAGTTCCCAAAATGCCAGATTTCTGAAAGGTGAAAGTCGACTTATACCAGGGCAGGATATTTTTTGAATTTTTAATGATTGTACGTAAGTGCCGCAATATCTTGGTGCTAAATATAACTGCCTTATACACTACTGTATTAGGGTTTCAGCGGGGAAGGTCCGAAATACCACTATCTCTATTTTGTCTCTGTCCAATAAACTAATAAGGGGGTTTACGCATATAAAAGTAGTTTAGTCAACTTGGATTTTCAACTTTTTGGCCCCTAGCATCACTGATGAGTCTAAGGGGGACGAAACATCTGTATGATGCAATGTATTAATTGTTGGCAAACTGTATCTAATATCAAATGTTCAAGGTGCAGACAACTATGTGTGTTACGTCCATCTCTTTAAAGGAGATAGTTAGTTATATCGGGGATTAATACAATTACCATATAATCCTCCAATGTCCTCGACTCCATGTCGTATCATCTGGTACCTGCGGAATACTAAATTCAAGTGACAGCGGTAAAAGGCGAGTCCATGGCGAATGCCAGGATCTGACAGGACAACACGGGCAATGACGTAGCCATGGAATCCCCAGCGGTGTCCCATATCGCGTGTCAAGTAATCGCACAACTTGGTGGCAGAAGGAAGTATATTCCAACACGAGGACGACAACAAGTACTCATGGACGACCCATTATGACAAAAACAGGAACCAAATTCATCACAGATGTTCAGGAGATCGTTATAGGGTGTAAAGGTATTGCGAGGAAATGACAGGAGCAAGTTTTTGTATCACATCTGCACAGTTTACAAACAAAAGAGGGAGACGCATAGTTTGCGGATTTAAAAGTGGACATGTCCCGAAAAGGCCGAGGATCTCCAAACTTAAGTTGAAAAATAGGTTCGAGAGTCTCGCAGTCAAATGAGATTAAGGGAAGCTGGACCGATTTCAAAACGACCCGTGCTTTACCGGTAAGTGCAAACAAACGACATTTATCAGTAAACAGTCTAGAGAAGATTGTTTTAAGGAAGGAGATCAACGAAAAGGTAAATTCAAGCAAAGTAGATGGGAGAGAAAAACTGAAAATGGAATACAGAGTGAATTAGGACATTGCAACAAAGAGAAGTTGAGATCAAAAAGCGATTATGGGGAAGGATGCCGAAGAGACAGCGGTAAGGGGGAGCAAGGAAAGTCTAGAAACTGACAATGACGAATAAATATCTTAGCATGCAGAGCAGTTTACCAATCAAGTCAGAAAATGGGAGGGAGAGTTTCAAGTGGAAGTGGACCAGATAGATAGACTGAAAGTGAAGAGTCATAGTCAAGCGAACAAAGAAGGAACGAGAGACTTGACAACTGTGATAATTGGAGGGGATCGAGCTGTTGTCTGTACCAGGAGAGGTCACCTGTCGGGTTGTCATTAACAGGATCAGGGATGCACTAGATGGCCGGTTGGGGAAAGAGAAGGCTGGATTTCAAAGTGGAAATGGTGGCCTTTTATTCTTCGTAATATTGTCGAACAACGCATGGAAAAAACACCACCCGTTATTGATCAACTCCGTGTACTTTTACAGGAATTTGGTAGCATCCATCGAGTCTCTGCTTGACAATAGCCACTTACGAGATACGAAAGAGAATCACCCGAATGGTAGAAGCCTTTCACGATGACTTAAAGTATACAGTGGAACAAGAATGATTCGGTTTCCTGTACTGAAAGGAGTTAGGCAAGAATGTGTCATTTTTTAAAATTCTGGCGAGCAATGGATTCATTTGGAAATCTGCTATTTCTTTGTATGATATGGATAATGATTTTGATAATGCCTTGCTGTTTCAATGTAACTAGCCCCAGTGGCGGACCCATGGGTGTTTTTCAGTGTCCAAAAATAATCTGGACCAAGGTTTTTGAAGATTTTCCTCTGTTTCATATGGGATTTCCTTCTAGTATCAATCATCCCTGGAACTATGATTTTCTGCCCGATAACTGCTTTGAACGTATAGCATTACTTGAATTGAATTTTATTTTTACCTAGATTCGCATGACGAAGGGGGGGGGGGGGGGGGGGGGGGGGGGGGGGGGCTTGTCGAAGAAGCAGACCCTGACGCCATTGGGCACCTGATCTGATCCTGACAATAAAGAACGCTATGATACAAAGATACTAATTAATAAGGATCATTTACCCTTATTTTGTCGTCAAGTGATCAGAAACTTCAACAGAAGACAAGTGATTTGGAAAGCATTGATGGGAGGACAGAAAATGACATGAACACCAAGGTGTTCTCTTTGGTAAACGTTATAAAGCAATACATGACTGTCATCGCTATAGCTTAAGCTGCTGTCGATCAACCGCTGAATTGGGAGTTTCACATTCTCTAATACTTTTGTTCCGCCGTAGACGGGCAGATCTCGATGGAAGATGTCAACTGCACCGCAAGGCAAGTACGTCCTACAATATACTCGAAAAGGTAGCCGATCAAAACAGGAAGACAAGGAATTCTCCCACACCTGACAGATTTATCTCCCGTTTTGCCGGTGCTAGATTTATCTGTCTCCGCCCTAGGGTTGAGACGGGGGGATTCCCCTATTCATAACAATGGCATGACGTCACTTCAACAATACAATGACGTCACGTCAACAATCAATCAACAAATTGCCTGTATGTGTTTTGGGTCCATGTTTACCTTTATTTCACATTAAAATACTGTTAGATATGGGAGAAAAATAATCAATCGCTACTGGTTGTGTAAGATAGAGAAATCTCAACCCTCGGACTAAGATTTTTTGTCCAAAACTCGGCAAACCTCGTTCTGGACAAAAAATCTTAGTCCTCGGGTTTAGATTTCTCTATCTTACACAACCAGTAGCGATAGATTCTATTAATCTCACACCGGTAAAGGTGCGGATACACTGTCCAGGGTAAGAGAAATAGATTATATATCTCCTAGCGATACAGGTCCTCAAATCGGATTCTCAGGCCAACAGGTGCACAATCAGTTTTGTCTTGTTTATAGTTTGAAAAAGCGAAGTAAGAACAAAATAAAGTTACAATATTGGTAAGAATTGATACATATTGTCACTTCTATACGACTGTCCATGCCTATATAATATTTTGTCCAGCTAGGTATTAAACGACAAGACACCAGTCTTATGAACAAACCTGGCTATGATTGGTTGAGTTGTCAAACGTTATATTGTGTTACAAATGACTACTGCCATGAACTTGAAATTAACTATTTAAGAAATAAAATGTGTTGTGCCATATTTGCACATAATCCTTTTGTGTGGAATAAAACTTCGCTATATTAATCGTAGGATTTGCCCTTATATATTCCGTCTTTGCGTATTGCAGAGTTATCTGCTCTTTTGAGCAGGTATTGATTGTTACGTCATTTGTTTGTGAGAGTAACATCATCAATTTTTGAGAAAACGATGTTATTTTCTCACACAATCAAATTACGTAACAATCAATACCTGCTCACAAGAGAAGATAACTCTGCAATACGCAAAGACGGAATACTTTTGACCAAAGTGCTGCGCTCTATTGATACCCACTAGCTTACATGTTATAAGATGGTTCAATTCTTTGTCATTACTTACTTAATTTACAGCCCATTTCGTTACATGTGTCATTTTTCTACCGCGTAAGTTCACACTTGTTTGAGTACTGCATTCAACACAGATCTTAACCCTTTGCGTGCCGCATGCATTCTACGTCATATACCTTTTTGTGCCGCCAAGGCCGGTCAGCTTTTTAACCTCAGTGCTGACGTCATAATGGGATAAAAGTATGACGTCATAACCTTTATTTCAACCTCACGAAATCCTTTTTTGTTTGTTTCTGAAACCATCTCTGCTAACTTTGTTTTCTTTGTTTTTTTCATGTGTCATTTCAAATTTGTTCTAAAATTGAAATTTCACCTCCTCCGAGAATATTTTCTTATTTTCCCCCCCACTTACATTAACGTAATGTCAGAGGTTGACTCACAGTCTAAAGATTGCGGATCTCGCTACATCAACATTACATTATAATATGAATAAGGATGACATGTATATGTTAGAATATTCCACCTTCAGATCAAATAGCTTTTCAAATGATTTTTTCTTTTCTTTCGTAAATTATTTTTATGTCTTAGATTCATTGAGTCATCGCTAGAAAATAAGTATAAACTTTATGTCAACCGCATATTAACTGTGTTCATGTATCTTGCGTATTGTTAAAATTCTTGCAAATCGGTGGGGTTAATTGAGAGGAAAAAAGAAAACCAACTACTTGTTAAATTTTGAAATATATATATATATTTAGACGAAGTAAATGAAATAGCTACATTTATTACGCACAACACTTCGTGTGTTCCTTCAGTGATAAAAACACAATGTTTAAAGTAGTTTTATGATGACGGGAAGTTTTAAGCACTTAAGCCTGTAACTTTTTCTCAACCTACACTTCCTTGAGGGTTCATGTCCCATTGCCGGCAAAACACTTAAGAACGCCATTTCAGGGTTTTGGACATACGAAAACCCTCCTCTTATAATTTCGTTTCGAAGACAAAAACCGTTGATCACGTTGAATCATGGTCTTACTATGCTGCAGTCTTACAGTCAGAACAACATTTTTTAATCCAACTCTTTGTCTTTTTCATAGAAGTTTTGCAAGGAATGGTTTTCTTTACAGAAATGATTTATAAAGCTATAGTAATGATGGAAGAAACATTTCCGATGCATTATTACTTTTCTTTGGGGGCATCCTGAACGTCATTATCTTTGGAAGGGTCTTCAGCATTACCATCCTCGATGCTTTAAGGGTTACGCTCTCTGCACCCCTGGAATATGTCATAGCAAAATCGCAGGCTCAATGTGCGCAACCTTTTTTGGCTCTTTATTGGAGTAAATTATGATTGGATAATATGTCCAAAAGTAAGTGGAGCATCATAACCGGAAAAGAGATTCCGCTAGCTTAAAAAATACCTGTCTGCATATATCTTTGTTTTATCCTTTGTTTAAGATTGATTTTCTTAGCTTTTTCACGTAATCATTATTAAATCTGGAATTAATAAAATAATTGTATCGTCATGTTTAAAAGGCCTTTTGTATAATTGTATGTGCTTCATGTAAATATATATTGACCTTAGAACTTATTTTCTAAACAGCGTATCAGTGCTTTTTAAGAGTTATAACAAAACCATAGTTTATTTAATATTATATATATTTTACTATTTATTACGTCACAAGAACGATGTAATGACGTCACTAATTGACGATAATGGCCAATGTTTTCCTTTTTCTGTCTAAATATTAATAATATGTGTTATTGAACATGCTATGAATTCATCTTGAACATTTCAATTCTAGGAAAGTCGTTAAGCTATTTGCATGATTTTTATTTTTAAAGATGGACTTTAAGCACAGACTAAACTGTTCGATCTACCAATCAGATACCTTCTGTAATTGTAAAGGTTGCAGGTCAATTCAATCCATATTTCGTTTCCATCTTAGTACAGAGTAGCCTAACACGTGAAGTAAGCACGTCACCAAAACAATGGTTCCTATATAACAGTATATGGGAAGGTCTATTCCAACACTATCTAGTATGTCACGTGACGTCAGGGCAACATTGGTATTATCACGGCATTGTGGGTACATCGTCACGCTCGTCTGATTACACCTGAAATGTGATGTTATATATTCCAAATTATTTGATTGAAAATTATGGAAGAGAAGTATAAATGCTATTAATAAAACCAATACAATGACATGGGGTATGTGAGTTAAATATCATCATTATGAGATAAAAAAAAAAAAAAAAAACCCAACTATTTCAACAACTACAACAGCAATCTTAACTACAGACTTCAGGCAAACCATCGACCTCAAACCTAATTACAGGCACCAACTAGGACATTCAGACGTCTAGGAAGTTTTACTGTTTGACTGACTCACCAAAGTGGATCCATATCGTTCAAAAGATAGGACACTGTTGCTGCGTAAGGGTAGTGGAGGATTGAAATGTATTTACTCCACCTCAGCCAGGTCGGAGGATGTGTATTGTAAAAACCTCCTGTAACATACATTAGCAGACAAAACAGGACATAAGAATATATTTTACAAGAGTATTGTTAGATAAGGTTAAGCAGTACACAAAACACATGCTTAAATTACTTATCAGGCATATATTCCGTGAAGAATCTATGATATTGTTTTATTAAATATCTCAAACTTAAACCGTAAACCTGATTATTGTTTATGGAAAATACTGTTAAAGCAACACAGAAAAAGGTATATTCAAAAAATTTCCCCAATAAGGATAAAATAACATTCAGGCGTCTGCACCTTTAAAATTTAGTAATCGATTACAGTGAGTCAAAACAAGTACAGTAAGCTATATGTTTGAGACATTATTGAAATAGACTTTATTGTTAGGGATAAATTTATGAAGTGCACACGACTTTTTCCTTTTATAGTGTTAATAATTTACTATCAAATATCAATAAAGCTTAGAAAAAGATGAAATAAAGTAGCGTTCCGTAGGCCTAGTATACGTCTAACACTAGTGGAGGTCTACGTCTTGGTCGCAACGGTTATTTGAGCGAGATTAATTATCCTTTTTAAAATGTGTGGTAAATAAGAAGATTAAAGGGAAAAATGAGTATGTCTGTGCCTTAAAACCAAGAAATATATAGTATTGAGGATACAACAAGACCTGCTCTTTTTTATCATGCTCCTAAAATCCTTCTACATGTGTATACAATAAGGAAATAGATATAACAGCAATGGACAGGGTGGATTGAGCAAAGTAACAAAACAAAAAGACTTTTGATAACCGCTGAAAGGATGAAAAATACACATAATAAGTATGTTTAGGGTAACGAAAGACTTCCATTTCTCTGGTAAGTTACAACTTCCTAAGAATAAACATGTTTATGCAATTTGTTGCGATTCTTGCAATATAAATTAAATCGCTCATTTGAGAAGTACGTGGTTTGAAAATTTTCTAAGAAGATTTTGACCAGTCAGTAGGTAAAATTCGATGGTAATATTTAACCACAAATGGGTGCCTTCGAAAATTACATCCTGATATAAAAGTTTTACGCACCTGATTTTGACGAAATCGTCACTCTTTGTAATATTCGTATAGCAATCATCACTGTTATTATTGTCACAAGGAAACAAGGTTTCAGAGATAAAGTAAGACATTTTCTGTATTGCATCATCTACTTTATAAGGACAGAGGGCACAATCTAATTTTAGCTAAAAGTGACTGGTCTGTTGTCCTGGTTGTGAATACCAAAGGTCAAAGGTTAAGGTCGTAATGGGTAAGTCTTAGTTAGGTAAAGATTGCTAAATAACAATATTGTATGATCATTTAAACAAGTCGTTCATAATGCTGCAATAATCGACAAATATAATAACGCGGAAAAGTACACTCCTGAATAAATGTTTATTATGGCTTGTAGTTAAAACTCGTTTTAATAACCGATTCTTACCTATCAATGTGCCACCTAGAAGACAAAATTCTAATAGCCGTATGCTGAGGTTTGTATTGACGAAACTTATTCCTATGACACTTGCCGCACTCTGTAATATCAAATAATAGAATTCAATGCAATAAGTCTGAAATATGTAGACATCACATCTAACTGTTTCAGTGTATCTTCCTATCTGTTAGAGTATTTCTAACACTCTGTTATACCATGCGGACGTTGCTATAGGAATATATCTGACTCTAGAACAGTTGTATATCTACATAAGGACGTTGCTATAGGAATATATCTGACCCTAGAACAGTTGTATATCTGCAAAAGGACGTTGCTATAGGAATATATCTGACCCTAGAACAGTTGTACATCTACATGTATATTGGACATTGGCATTGGCTTTCATCGCCAGTGTTCAAAACCGAATTATATTTGTATGTATCCCGTTGATTTATAAATCCTCTAACAAAATCTGTTTGCCTGATAAACGATTGTATTTAGTTGTATGCCTGATAAACGATTGTATTTAGTTGTATGACTATCTAAGTTTCTATCGTAATGGTGCTACAGTTTGTAATATATACAGTGACCAAATTGGGTATACTACTTTGAAAAAAGACAATCATATTGGAAAACAGAATAAATATTGTAACGCTTCCTTTTCAATTTCTTGATATATGCTAAACATGATTAACTTAGGTATTTCATGTTCCTCTATTTACAATTGTATGACTTTGCCACTATATTACCAACCAAATTTAGTTGGCATTTATATAGGCTATGAATGCCATGGACCAATTGTTGACGTCATCATTATTATGACTGCAAAATTGTTACGTTGGATACCACTGGCGTTGGCTGTTCTATTAATTGAACAAGCATACATGATACATACATTTTTTGAACAAAATGCTGAATAATAATAAGTGTAATGGAATTTTTAATGTGATAAACAGATTTCAATAGTGGTAAATATAAGTATTGAACTGCTTTCAACTGGACAAAGGCGAATTCAATGATAGCGCACTTCATGTTGGATTTGCCTTTGCTCAGTTGGAATTCATATTGCCTAATCTTAATACCTGTTGATGGCCTTTTTGTAGACTTTTAAGTCCTGATTTGGTTACTTGTGTGTCGAGGATGTGATACAATTGTTGTTCAATTTTACTCAAACATATGATTATTTTCGTATGTTCTATTATGGTAATGTATATATGTGACACGGCTTTGCAGACAAATACCAGACAGACTTCTATTTAATTTATATATCACCCCAAAAAGAGCTGTTATACACTATATGATGCTAATCTCACCTGTATCAGAAGACAGTTAAGTATTCCTATACCACAGAAGACGAAGTAACCGACCACACCTCCGAGACCAGCTGTCCAGTACACGGCCGTGTTAAACAGTGTCGGGATGACCAGTAGTAGGGGTAGTTCACTGGTTAGTTTGGACAAGTAGAAGATGGACAGTCTGTAGGCTCCAACTGTTCTTTCCTTCCACACAACACCTCTCTCTGCCGAATCTGTAACAGTTTACCAGCGAATATGACCCTTCTGATGAAAAGGTATACCTTGTCATATTGATATCAACTGATGTTAATAGAAATTTAGAAATATTTATATTATGATATAAGACAGATATAACTAGAAAGACGTCAAAAAGTGTTATTTATGAGTATTTTAAAGTATACATTGAAAAACAAGGTAAAATATGTTACGGTTAATAAGAACAATAAATGCAGATAGACGTTATAGACTTGAAAAAGTTACAAAATGTTGTTCTTTACACAACAAAAGATGTTACTCTCAGGTGGTTTCAATACAGAATTACACATAGGATACTGACAACTAATAGTTTTTTAACAAAAATCAATGTTTTGGATAATTCCCTCTGTAATCTGTAGTTGTGTCCTTGTAATGTGTATTGTATATATATATATATATGTGAAAAATGCAAATAAAAAAAAGCTGTACCAAAAGAAAAATACATGTAGATAGCCATGTGCTTTATTAACACCTAGTTATATTATTTACACCTAGTTATATTATTAATACCTAGTTATATTATTAACATCTAGTTAAATGACTAACACCTAGTTATATTATTAACACCTAGTTATATTATTTACACCTAGTTAAATTATTTACACCTAGTTATATGACTAACACCTAGTTATATGACTAACACCTCGTTATATCATTAACACCTAGTTATATTATTAACACCTAGTGATATTATTTACACCTAGTTATATTATTAACACCTAGCGATATTATTTACACCTAGTTATATTATTAACACCTAGTTCTATTGTTAACACCTAGTTATATGACTAACACCTAGTTATATTATTAACACTTAGTTATATTATTAACACCTTCTTATATAACTAACACCCAGCTATATTATTTACACCTAGTTATATTATTAACACCTAGTGATATTATTTACACCTAGTTATATTATTAACACCTAGTTCTATTGTTAACACCTAGTTATATGACTAACACCTAGTTATGTTATTAACACTAGTTATATTATTAACATCTAGTTATATTATTAACACCTAGTTATATTATTTACACCTAGTTATATTATTAACATCTAGTTATATTATTAACACCTAGTTATATTATTAACACCTAGTTATATTACTAACACCTAGTTATGTTATTAACACTAGTTATATTATTAACATCTAGTTATATTATTAACATTTAGTTATATTATTAACACCTAGTTATATTATTTACACCTAATTATATTATTTACACCTAGTTATATTGTTAACATCTAGAAATATTATTAACACCAAGTTATATTATTAACACCGGGTTGTATTATTAACACCTAGTTATATGACTAACACCTAGCTATGTTATTAACACTAGTTATATTATTAACATCTAGTTAAATGACTAACACCTAGTTATATTATTAACACCTAGATATATCATTAACACTAGTTATATCATTTACACCTAGTTATATTATTAACACCTAGTTATATCATTTACACCTAGTTATATTGTTTACACCTAGTTATATGACTAACACCTAGTTATATTATTTATACCTAGTTATATTATTAACACCTAGTGATATTATTTCCACCTAGTTATATTATTAACACCTAGTTATATTACTAACACCTAGTTATATTATCAACACCTAGTGATATTATTTCCACCTAGTTATATTATTAACACCTAGTTATACTATTAACACCTAGTTGTATTATTAACGCCGAGTTAAATTATTTACACCTAGTTATATGACTAACACCTAGTTATATTATTAACACCTAGTTATATTATTAGCACCTAGTTATAAGACTAACACCTAGTTATATCATTAACACCTAGTTATATGACTAACACCTAGTTATATTATTTACACCTAGTTATATTATTAACATCTACTGATATTATTAACACCTAGTTATATGACTAACACTTAGTTATATTATTAACACCTAGTTATATTATTTACACCTAGTTAAATTATTTACACCTAGTTATATTATTAACACCTAGTTATATTACTAACACCTAGTTATGTTATTAACACTAGTTATATTATTAACATCTAGTTAAATGACTAACACCTAGTTATATTATTAACACCTAGATATATCATTAACACTAGTTATATCATTTACACCTAGTTATATTATTTACACCTAGTTATATTATTAACATCTAGGGATATTATTAACACTTAGTTATATGACTAACACCTAGTTATATTATTAACACCTAGATATATCATTAACACTAGTTATATCATTTACACCTAGTTATATTATTAACACCTAGTTATATGACTAACACCTAGCTATGTTATTAACACTAGTTATATTATTAACATCTAGTTATATTATTAACATTTAGTTATATTATTAACACCTAGTTATATTATTAGCACCTAGTTATAAGACTAACACCTAGTTATATCATTAACACCTAGTTATATGACTAACACCTAGTTATGTTATTAACACTAGTTATATTATTAACATCTAGTTATATTATTAACATTTAGTTATATTATTAACACCTAGTTATATTATTTACACCTAGTTAAATTATTTACACCTAGTTATATTATTAACACCTAGTGATATTATTTACACTTAGTTATATTATTAACACCTAGTGATATTATTAACACCTAGTTATATGACTAACACTTAGTTATATTATTAACACCTAGTTATATTATTTACACCTAGTTAAATTATTTACACCTAGTTATATTATTAACACCTAGTTATATGACTAACACCTCGTTATAACATTAACACCTAGTTGTATGACTAAAAACCTAGTTATATGACTAACACCTAGTTATATGATTTACACCTAGTTATATGACTCACACCTAGTTATATGACTAACACGTAGTTATATTATTAACACCTAGTTATATTATTAGCACCTAGTTATATGACTAACACCTAGTTATATCATTAACACCTAGTTATATGACTAACACCTAGTTATATCATTAACACCTAGTTATATGACTAACACCTAGTTAATTGATTAACACCTAGTTATATCATTAACACCTAGTTATATGACTAACACCTAGTTATATGATTAAAACCGTTGGAACTAATGGGTGTATTCATGGACAGAATGCAAACACATTGTGACAATATCAATAACGTGATATCTTTTATCTGCATTTTTTTACATAGTAAAAAGTTATAATATTACATTATTGCTTTATTTTGTATATATGTATGTAACAAGCTCCACTATAACTATAACATGTTTGTTGAACAGCGTTATTACAACTCCAAAATGACATTTACAAATCTTCAATAAAACAGCATATCAGTAAACGAACCTGTTAGGGCTGTGTTCCTCTGCATATATGTAAGTGTAGGTACAATGTGCTTTCAAGATAAGGTCATCAAAATATTACTTACGACTCAGAGTTGTTGAGATGGCAATTTGAAATCCCCAGTGCAGAAAAGAAGCAAAAACCTATGTTAACATAAAATGAAAACTGTGCAAGGGAGACAATCAGATCGTGTGTGCATTTATATTTTTTCTCATTCCAGAAGTACAAAGATATACTTTAAGCAACATTTCCGTATTTTTCTTCAAGTCATAAGACATGTTTTAATGTGTTCCTGGTAAACTATAATGGTTTTGATGTTTTAATGAAGGGGTGTAGAAAGTCTATTGCCTAAAAATATGTATAAGCATTTAAGATAGAAACGCGTTGTAAAACGAGGCTCCTGAAAGCATTTAACTTAACCGAGTGAGGCGAACGTCTAGGCGCCTTTAACTTGACATGTGAGCGCAAATTGAGCAACCTTGTCTAGTACAGCTGACATCAACAGGGCATACACTATTCAACTGCATTGCTTATTTAAAGCGACATTTCCACAATTTCAAATGTTGCTGAAATTCATTTATGTCCATTGTTTTTTATCTGATATATATTGGTTTTTACTCCTTATAGGTTAAATAGGTTAATAGCCATAAGACGCCAGTCACTTCAGGAGTCATATCGTATAATGTTGATTGTTGATGTCAGTTAACATAATAAGATGGGTAGACTTTCATAAACTATGCCGATAGTCTTCTAAATGTTGAACTAATTACAATATAAGGTGAATTGTCTCCCTTAATCTTTCACCCGTTAGAGCACTGAAATTTAAATGAATCATATTCACTCTTACACATATTCTGTTATCACTAAAACAAAATATTTCCTTTAAAACAAACTACAGAGTTAAAACTTCAATTTTAATGTAAGCAATTGTTTTCGTACAGAGCAGCTTTACATTTGTACACATCATCAGTACGAAGGGGGAATACTGCCTGTGCATAACCAAACAAAACTAGGCACCGAAAAATCACGTCGACAAATTAGGCACGAACGACAAATCTAAAACTGGGATTTTAAGGAAAGTGCACTTTTAATATGTCTTTCTAAAATATTGTTAACGATGAGTTCATGAATACATGTATGAGAATGAAATGAATTTCGAATTATATAGAATATAAAATAAGTTATACAAACCAGGCCCATCTTATCTCGTAACGTCTTTTCACTGTTTTCAATTTGGAAATACACCATTCCATATATGGCAGCCAGGAAGAAACCATGTATGACGTCATAAGTTTGGAACATTCTCCCCTTAGCCTGCTTATATGATCTCCAATTCAGCATCTTTAGCTGGTTCAAGTTTGACGTTGGCCAACGAGTTGTCTCTCTTTCCTCCGGGGTGAACGCTGTGATACCAAGACCAGATAATTAAGTACTGTACTGAATATCTACATCAAAAAATGCCCAACGGCGTTTTGCTTTAATGAAAACAGCTTATTTCAAAAGTTGATTTGAATTATGATACCTTACCAACCGCCCCACATATCTCGTCTTTGCTCCTAGGAGTCTTCAGTACTTGCTGAATATTAACATCAATACATATTCAATAGCGTGTTTTTTTAATGAAAACTGTTTATGACAAATGTTGATTTGAAATATGATATCTTACCAAACGCCCCAAGCGTCTCGTTTTTACTTCTAGGATTTGCACAATGGTCCCGATGTCGGTAATGCGGACTTCTTTTCACATCTGACACATGTTGAGCATCACTAATGTGAGTGAAACAGTATATATATATATATATATCAATAAAAGGGAAATTGTTCAAAAACGTGTGTTAAGTATTAAAAAGCATTAGAATATTTTACAAACATAATGAATAGTTGTTTGATCATACTTTGCGGAATAAATAGGATAATAATCTTCTGTTTAACCTGGCAAACAGGCACATCATGATAAACTTATCTTTACACACTGATTTCTTTGCAGGTACATTTTGATAAATTCAACTCTCAGAGTATCTTATTAACCTTATATGCTCATTAAAAAAATAGAAATGGACAATGCACAATTAGAAAAATCATAGCACCTGCTAGATATGAAGATATCACCAGATTTCATGGTATTCACTGGATGTCATGGTATTCACTGGATGTCATGGTATTCACTGGATGTCATGGTATTCACTGGATGTCATGGTATCACTGGATGTCATGATATCACTAGATGTCATGGTATCACCGGATGTCATGGTATCACTGGATGTCATGGTATCACTAGATGTCATGGTATCACCGGATGTCATGGTATCACTGGATGTCATGATATCACTGGATGTCATGGTATCACTGAATGGCATGGATGTCATGGTATCACTGGATGTCATGGTATCACAGGATGTCATGGTATCACTGGATGTCATGGTACATCTATATGTAATGGTATCACTTCATTACAGGCTTATTGCATTACATGTCATAACGTTATCAAAGAAGAAAATATGCATTCTTAATTGAGCAATATCAATTATAGTGAATCTCAAATTACAGTCATTACCGTTTCATGTTTAAAACATTTCTTAACGAAAATAATTATGATATATATTTAAATAGGGTCATTTCTTACGAAAACAGATATCAGGTTCTTTAAGCTCAAAAAGAACTTATGTACAATTTTAATTTAATGAAAATTTATGAAACGTATGGCCATTATTTAATTCATTTGGTAGAAATCTCAAACAATACAACATTACAAAGTCTTATGTTAGGAAACTGTTTATGAATGGTCAGCCTGATTATAAGTATAGAAGCAAAATATAAGGTTTCAATTATGTTAATTGCTCTTGTATCAAACGCAAAAACTATATATTAAACACCACGTATCCAAGTAAAACAAGAAAATCAAGACTAGACTGTTAGCCGGATTTCATGAAAGAGTTTTGAAAATTAATCAATAGCAATTCATTCGAAGAAAACTGCGTATTCTAAATAGCATTGTTCAGTTATCTATTGTTTAGAGAGTTTGGTCACGAAGCAATGTTCAGTTATCTATTGTTTAGAGAATTTGGTCACGAAGCAATGTTCAGTTATCTATTGTTTAGAGAATTTGGTCACGAAGCAATGTTCAGTTATTTATTGTTTAGAGAGTTTGGTCACGAAGCAATGCTCAGTTATCTATTGTTTAGAAAATTTGGTCACGAAGCAATGTTCAGTTATCTATTGTTTAGAGAGTTTGGTCACGAATCAATGTTCAGTTATCTATTGTTTAGAGAATTTGGTCACGAAGCAATGATCAGTTATCTATTGTTTAGAGAATTTGGTCACGAAGCAATGATCAGTTATCTATTGTTTAGAGAGTTTGGTCACGAAGCAATGTTCAGTTATCTATTGTTTAGAGAGTTTGGTCACGAATCAATGTTCAGTTATCTATTGTTTAGAGAGTTTGGTCACGAAGCATTGTTTTACCTCAGCTCCTTACTCCAGGTCTTTACCACATTGATGGTGTGCTCATCTGCAGTTAACAGTCCTGCTGAAATGACATTTTTTTTATAAGAACAAGGTGTATGCAAACTGATTCTATGATTTCAGAGCAGTAAATGTGAACGACATTCATTGCCGGAGGTCGTTACGTTTGGTCTTCCAGAATGGAGATGATCAGTTATGGAAGAAATGAGTCGTTTCAATAGCTAACTGATGTTGTTTCACTGAGCAACCGAACCGCTGTGAAACCTGACATAAATGCAGTCTACACAATAGTGACGGCATACTTTTTGTTCTCTTGAGATAGACATAATAATGATGTTTTTCTTGAAACTGAAAATGTATAACTAATTAAGTAGCAAGTATGTTACCAAAATTGTCAGCTTTTGTTCGTCCAGTTATTTTAATTTTATTCATTTATATATTTTGGTATATAAGCGCATATTTACAAAACAAGAAGCCACCATGTCTTACATAAATAGTCAGCAGGGTTGAACCGCGGATTATACGGGAATCCTAGGTTAGTGAAATAGGGGATAGCTGCGGGAGCGGAACCAAAATACGCCATCTGCCAAAAAAAAACAACATTTAATTAGATCTAATGAATGAGTATTCATCTGATTCGTAAGTGTTACTGATGAGCATAATTATGATTGGTTAGTTTTCATCAATTAGTAAAATATTTATTTGGTCTCATCAATTTCTCCATATGATATCTTACGTTTTTGTGCATTTTATGGTATATTTTGAATACATTCAAAACTGTCGATATATCTATTTTAATCAAATAGGGTATACAAAATTAAGTTAATATATAAGTATCAAACCTGTCCCTCCACCAGCAGCAGTAACGAGGAGAACATGTGGAAGATTTTACTGGAGGGCTGGTGAATGGTGACCACTATAGTCTTGTTGTACTCAGTGGCGTAGTTCTTCAGTTGTACCATCAGACTGTGTGCAGTACTCGAGTCTAAACCGGAAGTTGGCTCCTAAAAAAAAGGCAAACGTTCTTGAACTTACGTTTTTTTCATTTGCTCTTCTATGAATTACTAAAAATGGTGTGGTAAACAGAAAATAGTTGCCTTAAAATCATATCACCAGGCACAAAGCTTGACTTGTTCGCATTAATTATTCACATGCTGTAATGTAATAATACGGACATTTGAAAGTATTTTTCAATAATTTTACTAAGGAAGAGTAATTGAGATATCTCAATTTTTGTAATAAGTTGATTATGACTAATTTCTTTGTAGTAACTTCCCTGCTTTCCCTACGTACAGTTTTTCTATGTCGCAGTTGATTTGGTTCTCAAGAGCTTGCTACGAATATAACGACTTTCTGTAATAGATTTCGAGTGTTGACGGACATGTAGGTTAAGGATGACTGGAGAAAGGTTTTAAGTTCGCCATCGGGTTCTCGCAGAGTAATTTACCATTTCTTTGTTCGATATTTTTAATTACGCTCATTTGAGTGCATTGTAGTTTTGTTGTCAGTACCCGATTTTCTCGATGTGAGGACATGACATTAATTGGATTCGACTTATATTAAGATGGCTGGTGTCATCGTTGACGCAAAAGACGCTTACCCTTTAAGGACACCTGGTCTTTTTCTCTGTTCTTTTCGAGGGTCTCTATGTTCGTCTTTCTTTTTTTTATATTTTGCCCTCGTTTATCGATTTTATATTTGAATTATGGGTTTGTTAACACTTCGGTATCCTCTTGGATATTCCATGGTTCATCGATGGGGCCAAATACCATTGTTTTGTTATTGGTTGTTTGAACAGAAAAGAGAATGAGGATGCTAGTTACTTAGCTTTGTAAGGTACTATCTCATCAGGTCCTGTTGGTTTCTAATCATTTAGAGATTTTAGTTAATCTACAAAATCTTGTTTAAAAATATGTATATGTTCTAATCAATAGGAAATCGTTTATACAATAGGTGGAAGGGAGTGGGAGTATGTTATTAATCCGCTACATACGTGAAGAAATTATCTAATATTTCGGATTTGTCTATAAAAGTTGTAGAACAATACCACTGCTGTTTAGCGAGGGAATGGAATTTAGCCTATTTTTATAACTTAGTAAATATTTTGCTGTTTTTATACCACAGAGAGATACAGTTCTGCCTTTTTCTGAGTCACAAAACCACATTTAATTTATAGTACTTTGATTCCAAGCATTCCACCTACTTGTGATAGAGACGTCATGGTCATTGTGACATTAACTTTAGTGAACGGTCACGGACTGGTTTTATTAGAAAGTCTTACAAAATATGAGAACAATTTACTATGAGTGAGTGCTATTATATCTATCCAGGAAAATATATACCGAATAAATATAAGACCAAAACGTGCATGTTTATATCAACATTCATGTCGGAATGGAGTGCAGAGGCTGACAGATTTATTTTCAATGAAGTGCTTCTGCGCTTCATCCAATGATTCTGTTTACTGATGCACTATGCAAGGATGTTATATTTAAAATAAAGAAAATATCTTATTCATTTATGTACTTAATATTTACTTCATACCACTTTATGATAAATGCAATAGTTCAAAGCCACTCACATCTACGAGAAATATGTCTGGATCTGTCAACAACTCACACGCTATGTGCGTCCTCTTCCTCTCCCCTCCTGATAAACCCCTCTGGAATATGTCTCCAATCACTAAAAGGACGAGGACGAGTAAAATGAAATGGTTTAAATGTTAATTTGGTAATGTCCAATAAGGATAAAATGTGCTGGAGTCAATCTTAGATTGCTATCTTTTAGACAACATTTGCAAAATCCTGAATGTGTTTAACTGCCTAATGATCCCAATTTTAGTATATTCCATGTCCTCTTTTTAGAAGACACTGAAGACAATCACCGATTCTGAAGGGCCCCCATTATGAGTCGTCTTCTACTACATTACATGAAGCAGGTCTATTTTTCTCAAAGTCCCCGAACAGAGGACAAGGAAAAAAGCATCACCGATTCTGCAGAGGATACACCAACATACCTGTGTAGCGGGAGAAATGTGTGATTAAAATACAACACTGTGACAGTCTTCACCAATACACCTGTCTATACCTGTATAAAGACAGTGTTGGAGTCCCAGAGCCGCAACAATCGTTTGTATTCGATCCAATTTTTCCTGCTTGGAAAGTGTGTCTGATACTCGTATCATCACTGAAAACTAAAATGATTACATTTATGTTACATAGAGTGTGTGCACCAATATTTTTTTTAAATCAACACAACGGGCAAAAGAAAAACACATTATGTCTGCGAGAACAAAGAGTTGACCTCAGCTATCGTCTCGTTTTTGGTTACGGATAATACTTCTGTTCTTAAAAGTGCGTTTCGAAGCATGAAAAAAGAGATAGACGTGCACAACAATGAAAATACGAGTAACAACTGTCCAAGCGGGATGACTCAAATAATGAAAATACGAGTTATAACTGTCCAAGCGGGATAACTCAAATAATGAAAATACGAGTAATAACTGTCCAAGCGGGATAACTCAAATAATGAAAATACGAGTAATAACTGTCCAAGCGGGATAACTCAAATAATGAAAAAACGAGTAATAACTGTCCAAGCGAGATAACTCAAATAATGAAAAAACGAGTAATAAGTGCCCAAGCGGGATAACGCAAATAATGAAAATACGAGTAATAACTGTCCAAGCGGGATAACTCAAATAATGAAAAAGCGAGTAATAACTGTCTAAGTGGGATAACTCAAATAATGAAAAAAACAAGTAATAACTGTCCAAGCGGGATGACTCAAATAATGAAATACGAGTAATAACTGTCCAAGCGGGATAACTCAAATAATGAAAATACGAGTCATAACTGTCCAAGCGGGATAACTCAAATAATGAAAATACGAGTAATACCTGTCCAAGCGGGATAACTCAAATAATGAAAATACGAGGAACAACTGTCCAAGCGGGATAACTCAAATAATGAAAATGCGAGTAACAACTGTCCAAGCGAGATAACTCAAATAATGAAAAAACGAGTAACAACTGTCCAAGCGGGATAACTCAAATAATGAAAATCCGAGTCATAACTGTCCAAGCGGGATAACTCAAATAATGATAATACGAGTAACAACTGTCCAAGCGGGATAACTCAAATAATGAAAAAACGAGTAATAACTGTCCAAGCGGGATACTCAAATAATGATGATACGAGTAACAACTGTCCAAGCGGGATAACTCAAATAATGAAAATGCGAGTTACAACTGTCCAAGCGAGATAACTCAAATAATGAAAAAACGAGTAATAACTGTCCAAGCGGGATAACTCAAATAACGAAAATGCGAGTTACAACTGTCCACGCGAGATAACTCAAATAATGAAAAAACGAGTAAAAACTGTCCAAGAGGGATAACTCCAATAATGAAAATACGAGTTATAACTGTCCAAGCGGGATAACTCAAATAATGAAAATGTAGTCGATCAGTAGTGATGATTGGTGCCTTATTTCATTTATTTTATTTATATATTTATAAACCCTCAACAACAAATTATTTATGAATATCGACACATTTTAAATAATAGCCTTTTTTCGTAAGTTTATGTCTAGAAAAAATCCTGGAAACGACGAAAATCTCCATAATTGCAGCTTCATGTGAATTTTCTATTATTTCGGAAGTTCTTTCTCTCAGACAGTCAGTTTTTTTCTGGATTAAATTTTTGAATAAGCCGTTATTTGACAAACGATAAATGCGCCAAAAACACATTTAAAGACACATTAAAGAGCGAAACTATTCAAGTGGCATTACCATGACACGTACATAAAGTGTTTCCCACAACGTCAGGTTGGAAAGGAATACATCGTCTTGCATCACGTAACCAAGACGACGGCGCTGTTGCTTGTCAAATAGCGAACCGTTGAGAGTTATATCCCCGGATAAAACATTGGTTTTTCCGGCCAGGGAATGTAGAAGAGTAGTCTTTCCAGAACCTACAACATTAATAACACAAATTAAAGGGAAAAGAACATTGGGCGCAGATCTGGCGAATGACGACTAAAGCTGAAATGGAATTGAAACCGAAGGGAGTAAGATGGATAGGGAAAGGCTAAACTGCTAGTGCACAGGATTACTTCACAAACACTCGTTTTGGTATGTAATACTACCTTGGATAGTTCACAGACAGCCACATTTTCTTTCTGGTGACCTTGTCGCGAAGCGTTTTATGGCTTTTTACATCCAGGTAATGTAATAACTTACATAACTGTCAACAAGGCAAATGGCCTTCTTCAAATCCGACGGACAAAATTATCAAATTTCTAATTGGACAATCAAGTGGACATTAGCGAATACAAAATGCCGGTTAGCCACTAGGATATAAGTCAAGGAGCTATAATATCAGCTGCGATATCGGCTTTTTGGTAAATGAACATAAGGCATGCAGGGACAAACTTTTTCACGTTAACATTAAATTATCTAGGTCATTGGCATTTAAGGCACTGAACTATATACGTAAGGACATCCTGTATTATTTTCAAATAATTTAATCTTGCTTGTAACAAGCATTTTCATTGGCTTAAAACTTTATGTTATCACAGCGGAATCCACTGGTAGACTATCAGTCCCCGAGGTTGGCTGTGGCCATGTGTCCACTGGTGGACTATCAGTCCCCGAGCTTGACTGTAGCCTTGTATCCACCGGTGGACTATCAGTCCCCGAGGTTTACCGTAGCCTTGTATTCACTGGTGGACTATCAGTCCCCCAGGTTGGCTGTAGCCTTGTATCCACTGGTGGACTATCAGTCCCCGAGGTTGGCTGTAGCCTTGTATCGCCTGGTGAACTAGCAGTCCCCGAGGTTGGCTGTAGCCTTGTATCCATTGGTGGACTATCAGTCCCCGAGGTTGACTGTAGCCTTGTATCCACTGGTGGTCTGTCAGTCCCTGAGGTTGGCTGTAGCCTTGAATCCACTGGTGGACTAGCAATCCCCGAGGTTGGCTGTAGCCTTGAATCCACTGGTAGACTATCAGTCCCCGAGGTTGGCTGTAGCCTTGTGTCCACTGGTGGACTATCAGTCCCCGAGTTTGGCTGTAGCCTTGTGTCCACTGGTGGACTATCAGTCCCCGAGGTTGACCGTAGCCTTGTACTCACTGGTGGACTATCAGTCCCCCGGGTTGGCTGTAGCCTTGTATCCACTGGTGGACTATCAGTCCACAAGGTTGGCTGTAGCCTTGTATCGCCTGGTGGACTATCAGTCCCCGAGGTTGGCTGTAGCCTTGTATCCATTGGTGGACTATCAGTCCCTGAGGTTGGCTGTAGCCTTGTATCCACTGATAGACTAGCAATCCCCGAGGTTGGCTGTAGCCTTGAATCCACTGGTAGACTATCAGTCCCCGAGGTTGGCTGTAGCCTTGCATCCACTGGTGTTCTTTTAGTCCCTGAGTTGACTGTAGCCTTGTGTCCACTGTTGGACTATTAGTCCCTGAGGTTGGCTGTAGCCTTGTGTCCACTGGTGGACTATCAGTCCCCGAGGTTGGCTGTAGCCTTGTGTCCAGTGGTGGACTATCAGTCCCCGAGGTTCGCTGTAGCCTTGTATCCACTGGTGGACTATCAGTCCCCGTGATTGGCTGTAGCCTTAAAATTGAAGTTTACACGGTTAACATGAAACTCTAGTGTAAGTATCAATGATCTGTTGGAGCCAAATGTTATAAATTATTAACGTTATAAAGTGTAATTTATACACTTTTCCCTTTTTCGCTATATTTCTACATATGTTTTGGAACACCTTTGACCCTTGATTATATTTTATTTTATCTCAGTAACACTGTGATACCCTAAATAGATGAAATGGTCATATGGTGCGGTAAACACTTACTGCATTTGGCTTTCTTCTTCAGCAAACTAAATTTTCAAATAGGTACTTCCTGACTCTGTATTTCAAAGGGTTATTTGCTATGGATGACATCTCTTATTTGGTGACTGATAATCGCCTCCTTGATGGATTGCAAAACAGCCGAAGCTGTGACATAGGAAGAAAGAATCAAGTGAGATGGGGAAAAAAATCATAAAAAAAAGTAATATAAATTAGAAGGCGATTTGAGAGGCTATAAATGACGCTTTCCGTCTGAATAAGTTAAGGTGTGGATCTATAAAGTTGAAAAGGATCCTGGGGCAAATTTGTGTTCAGCATTCGAATTCTAAATCATTCAAATACATGTACTTACAAGGATCACATTTACAGATATATCATATCGCTAACGCTAAACTATTCATGTCACTCTTCACATATTTTCATAAATACTCTCAAATCTGCTCAACAGGCGACCCCTGCTTAGTAGTTTTCTCTTAACAGACCGCTTCTTTTTAACCCAACCAAGCAGTTAATAATTATATTGAGACTTTATTTAGAGGCTCATTTTTGGTCGTCTATTGGTGGTCTCAAAGCATGAAATTGTCTGTCATAATTCTTTTTTCTTCTTATTTTTCTGATTGAAAAAATATACTTGTATAATAGTTTATGTATCGACACTTGAGATATGTTAGTAAGGACATATGAAAATTTATTAAATCTATGTCGTTAAAGTATAATACTTCGGTTGAATGAAATTTTCGAAATGCTGACATTGTAAATGAATGCAATAGGCAAGTGATACAAGTGATACGGAATACTAGTAATAATGGTAGGGTCGTACAATGTAGTTTTAAATCTTACAAACACAATCTAGTTTTATTAAAAACATTAGTTGTAAATATGTCACATTTATGTGAGCCATTTTCATTAATGAATTGTTTGTTTACACTGAAAAAAATTATGATGGTTACTTTTTATATACCTTCTGTCTGAGGTGAATAACAATAATGGCCGTGTTTAACGTCTTTTTTACCAGGAGGTGTCTCAGTGTACGGAATAAGTTGTAGTTTAAGATATCGTGTTTCTAGTTGGTAATGTTACGCTGTTTCGAAGCGTAATATGAACCTGTTTGTTCTGGGTTTACCGTCTTTAAAACATCTTGGGTCTAATGCATACGCAGAACTACATACGTTTTGAACAATACGCATGAATATCAATCTTTCCTTTACCGTCACAAAGGCTGGTAAAACTGTCATTCAAACGTTGTACATGACTAATGATTATGATTTTGATTTAACCTGAAAATACAACTGTACTCAGTGTTACACGAACAATCTTGTTTATTTTTAAAAATTAGACCTATTCACTTACTACTGGCAAAACGACCTCGTGAATTCTTAATATTTTACATCACGTTGTTTATCCCGTTGAAGGAACTTGCTTCTTGTAATCATGATCAACACAAGCAGGCATTGTACACATATACACCTATCAAAAATCGTAATTATTTCAATTGTGTATCCTGATTTATCAGAAAACATTTCAATAGCTACAAATAAAATACATGTATATGCAATAAATAATTTGGATCTGATAAGAGAGGAGGTTGAAAAAGCGTTTTGGTATGAACGTTTAGAATACGGTTTATGAATAAATAAAGTCGTAATGGTTCGACTAAATATAAATTTATGTCAAAAACACTTTAAACATTAGCTGGATTTTTATCAAAAAGTATATAGTGGTTTAACTTACCGCTCGGCCCCATCACAGCTAACATTTTTCCACTCTGTGCCGATCCGGATACATGTTTCAATATTTCTTTAGATTTGTTTTTCACACACAAATCAGAAAACACAAGTTCTGAGCACTGTCTATTGGTTTTGGGTTCTGAGCACTGTTGAATCGTTGTCAGGTCTAAACACTGCTGAGTGGTTGTCATTTCTGAGTACTATCGAGTGGTTGTCAGGTCTGAATACTGTTGAGTGGTTGTCAGTTCTGAGTACTGTCGAGTGGTTGTCATAACCTATAGTATAACATTGAACCCATTTGAAAATACAGACGGGACGTCAGGATGAGGTCACGTGGAACAAACAACTGTCTACATTAGTCATGTATTTGAAATATACAGCGTCTTGGTATAAAGATATACGGATATACGATAAGTATGACCCAGTTCACAAAACGTTCGGGACCATTACTTACGGTGTGGGCGCCCTGAAATAAGGTTCAATGGCTGAGTGAACTCAAATGGATGCAAATAAGGAATTGGCACGTAGTTCAGCAATAGACCGTTTTAACCAAAAAGCTTTATTTATAATACTTCGTTGATAATGGTGGAGTGTAGAATATCTCGTCTGGTATTCACTGATTTATGTGTTAAACAGCCCAAAGAAATACTGAAGCATGTGTCAGGAGTGGCGACAAGCGGAAATATATTGGCTGTCATGGGCCCTAGTGGTGAGTTATCTTAACTTTTTGTTGAGGTTATTAACTAAAACAACTATTTTGTTATACAGGGCACGTTTGGTGATTGTGTCTATAGCGGGTGTTTAAACTTGTATATTTACATTTGCATGGCATTGTCACTATATAGCCTCTTTGAAAGCTGTGTCGTTGATGGGACTTTAATTACCATGGATCACAAGACAAAATTCTTAGCGTATTAATTCAACACTGACCGGAACTACAATATCCAATATAAATAAACATGACGGCTGCTGAAATATCGCTGGGCATTGTGATATTTGACAATGTCATTGTACATGTATGTGCAAAATAAAAAATTAAATTTAAAAAAAAACTTTTATTACAACGAAAACAAGACCAATGTCTGCAATATCGTACAAAATACACATCGGTTGAAATCACCAATGCCGGCAATGGAAACAATTTTAACGCTCATGCAACTTATCAGAAATATCGTCTGTTACACTGCCCTTATCAACAGGGGTTCGTTACAAATGTCTGAAATACACATATTATATAGACCTAATGACACATATGTTACAGACCTACTGATATGAGTCACAGCACTCATAAACATTTCAGACATTTGTAACGAACCTGTGCTCCGTCGCAAGATCACTCACTATCAGTTTCACGCGTCTCGCATCCACGGTTCCTCAGTTTAATTCTGACGACAGGTCAAATAACGAGGCTGTTATAGAATCTACCGACTGTTGTCAGGTTCCCATACAATCAACAAATAAATCCACACCTAGATTTATTAAAAAGGAGCAAAGAGAAAAGTTCGAATTAACTTCCAAAAATAACTCCCTCGTGGAGGGCAAGGTACGGTGTTCACTGTATTTGTCCATGCCCGAAATTTGTTCCGGGGGAAAATCGAAACAATTTCAAATCGAACTTTCAGCTCAGAGTTCTATTGATAAGCTTGAATCACCCTAATTTTAGATATAAATTATAAGTTAAAAAAGAACATAAGAGGCAGAGAAAACGTAAATATAAGTATTGAACTGTTTTTGTATGGTATTTTGTATGTAGCGCGCATTATGTTGTTTACTTGCAAAGCTGTGTCATTCAAATAGATCATAAATACCATACCAAAACAGTTCAATGCTTAAATATGTACCATTGATAGTAGTATCACTATATAACCAAAAGCATATGGCATTCACAGCTGAATGTCATTACCTATTGTTGACGTGTCGATTGTAACGCCAGATACCACTGCCCTTTCCTTGTCTGTTCTATTTATCAGACAAGCCTATCCGATACAAACTGCTACAATTAAACATAATATTTCATTTCTTTGGTATTTGTATATTCCAAAAATAAATAAAGCATCAATGTGAACTTACAATTGTTATTAACAATGAACTCATTACAACGCTTAAGAAATTCTTGAAAATAATATAAGCGAGCGCACATAGTTCGGTAACCTTTGTGATGATAGTGTAGATCTCGGCGCCTGCAACGCCCCAGCTAAGGGCTTGAAGGTTACAAAACGAACTCCCTCCATAGGACAAAGGTGCGTCAAATATTCTGACATGAAAAAGAAATAAATGGTGGTTATGAAAAATAGAATCTTAATTAAGAAAACCTGCCAGTTATTTCATGTAGGCCTTTTCGTTGTTACTAATTTACTATTATTTCAACACCTTTGTCAATATATCGCCTGATCCCTTTTAGCATCAATATTTGTCAAGACAAAATGACAAAAATATGATCTACTTTGCAAAGAAAATATTTCTTAAAAATGCAAAGAATTGCAATGCAATCCACTGTCCGTCACCGGTAAGAATTGCTATCTTTAACACACAGTAAACTTATGTCAGGAAGCATAGGTCACAGTGAGGTTATAGTGATCTACTCTATCCCAAGATGTCCTTGTTCTTCAACCAGGTTACTCAGGGTGAAATAGTATAGAATATATGCCCTGGACAAACATTTTTAAATGCAAAGGTCAAAGGTCAATTCATTGATCACAATGACCTAATTATGTACACTCTGACATCCCAAGATGTCCTTGTACACAAAATCTAGTTACTCCAGGTAAAAAAGTATATAAGATATGCCCCGGACAAACATTTTCAAAATTAAAGTCAAAGGTCAAGTCATATGTCACAGTAACCTAAACCTTGCACACCAAATCTGGTAACTGCATGTGAAATATTATAGATGATAAGCCCCAGGACAAATATTTTCAAATGTAAAGGTCAAAGGTCAAAGCATAGGTCACAGTGTGGTCATACAACTGGAGTGACCTTCTAGATTCTTGCACTGTGCATGCTGCCATCCAAAGCTGTCGTTGTTCACCAAATCTGGTTACCCCAGGTGAAATAGTATAGAACATATGTCCCTGACAAACTTTTCTGAAGACGGGCAGAGGGGGTGCAAACCTAGCCCCCCTCCCCAATTTTTTTCAGTTCATGGATTTTTGCCTAAATTGCCTAGCCCGATGCCCCGAAATAGTAAAAAAAATGTCTATGTTCACTATGAAACATGAGTTGGGCTTGTATATTTTTCTTCAAAATCAACCTGTAAACTAGTTCACTTATTACTATGTCGTATATCTTAGCAAACACCCTTGCATGAGTGCATTCCTGGGTGGTGACAGACCTAGCTGGGGAAAACTTTGGTATTTGTCTATAATAATAATAATAATAATAATTTGAGGTTCCTATATACCGCTTTATTACAAACTAGTTCGTAGGTCATCTTAAAGTGATTCATATATTATTATACGTGGTTATAGGACCTTTGCAACCCGCCAATATCGTTCTCAACTCCCTGGGGACCATACATCCGGTGCTGCGCCTGCGAAATTATTATGAATAATTCATGAAACTTCATGAACAGTTCATGAAATATTCATGAATAATATTCATGAATGTTCTTGATTTGCTCATGAATATTTTCATGAAATTCATGAACTTAAAACTTCATGAATAAACTTGAGCAAAATATTTCATGAAAATTCTGGAATATAAATTCATGAATATTCATGATTTTATATTCATGAAAGTTCATGAAAGTCTAATACCATATGAAAATAAACAATGGAATTCCACTCCAGAGGAAATACCACTGGATCCCACCCGCAATTTGACCTGGAATTTGCGGACAAATTGCCCAGTGGATTCCACTGGTATTTCCACTGAAATACCTAGCCAGTGGTCACTGAAATTCAAATTTGAATCACTTATATGACGATAACAATAATAACGGACATTCGATAGATTCTGAATTTACAGTTATGACGGTATATATAATCATTCATGCTGTGTTTAAAGTTAGAAATAATGCAAGTAACGTCACAAATATCTTTTAAACATGAAAAAATGACAGTTGAATAACATATATATTTGCAAAAGTTTTTACTGCTACATATTTAGCATTGTTAAATATGAAATATGGATGCATGGTTCACATATGGTCTGTGGGGCTTCAAGAATATGATACAGCTGACATTATTAGGTTAGAGTTGTAGAATACAGGGTTCCCAAAACTCTTGAAATTTATCTGTATTGTATATGCAAATACATGCTGGTTTCCTCGTTGTAGAACTTGCACCCTTTTTACCCGGTCTACTTATTGCGAGTCTATCCATTCTCCATGTAACAATTGATGGTGTTTAAAGTTCGAAATGTTCGTCTTCTATTTCGTCCTCTTTTGTTTTGCAAAATTATTCCTAGTATTTGCCATACCTCTTTGTATGTCCGCTTAATTGAGGTGTCACTGATAATACATTTTTAAAAAACAGTTGTTATTTTCCAAGAATATTTGGTGCAAGGGGAGATCTTTTTTTAAAATATTGGCAGTATGTGTTGCCGCATCTTGCATGAGACTGCTGAAAAACTGTTGTGGTGCTTTAGGTATTCCTCTTTTATCCTTTTTCAATAGCAAATCTTTCGCTGTATATCTTGGGACATTTTACACATCACTGTCATCCTGCAGGCTGGTGTTATCTTCTGAGCTTGTACACATATGCTTTAATTATCATTTGAAGATCTTGCACTAAAGCTTACATCTTCAGGTTCTGGCTGCTAATAATACTGCCTGTTTGTGTCGATGTCAGCAAAGCATGACGACTCTGTATCTGGCACACTTCAAAACGATCCATAAAGCTATCGAATGCATCTCTGATGTCCGCGTCAGTAAATTTTAGGAGTAATCCCATTTTCTGAATAAGAAAAAAGTTAATAAATTTTCGTTTATCTTATAAAATACTGTAGAAATTAGTATGTAGGCCTACCTGTATTTTCAAGCCCCTGTACATCAACCTTATTTTTTTTATTGAAATTATATATTATCTATCTGCAAATTTCATACAAGTTAAGAACTATCTCAAGAGGTGCATTCATACCGTAAACTTCAAATTCGGCAGGGTGGGATTGGGTGCACACGCACACACGTTTGGTAATTTGGACGCAGTAACCATTAGCACTCAGTAATATATTCAATTCTGTTTTCTAACGTATAATTTTCAGTATCGATATCATTGCTAAACCCGCACGGTAAATATGACCACGGAATTAGATTAGATTATATAAGTCCGTAATATGACGAATCAGATGAGTTGTTGCCAATGTAAACCGTTGTAACATCATGATCACAGACTGGTTTCACATAATTACACATAGTTTTAACATTTCATACAAGTATTTCATAAAATCCCAATCAGATTCTTACCTTCGGCTTCGATAACCTTCCTGCCGTCTTTCGAAAATTTCTCCATCTCCACTTTCTTCTGAAGCGTATTTGGCGCGGGATTAATTTCGTCCAATCAGAATAATTCCTCTATTCGCTCCGATCCTACCGGAAGTCAATTTATAAAAATATGGCATGGAATGACTTCGGTGCGAAAAAA